TAATTTTAGACTTAAAGGAAAGTTGTAAATGTAGTGCTTAGAGTTCCCACATACCCTTGACCAAGTTTCACTAAATGTTAATATTTTATATAGCTACAGTACCCTTATCACAGTTAAGATAATAATACTGAGGGCTAGGGGTGTAGCTCAGTTATAGAGTACTTGCCTGGCATGCAGGAAGCACTGGGTTCAATACCCAGCACTGCAAAAAAAGAAAAAGAAAGGAAGAAAAATTTACATTGGTACAATAGTAGTACCTAAATTATAGACCTTATTCAGATTTGCCCACTTTTTTCCCCCCTGATATGTTTTTATGTTCTATTACCTAAACCAGGATACCACATTGCATTTTCTTTTTCTATAAGCAGTTATTTGTTTTTTTGTTGTTATTTGTTAATTTTTGTGGTACTGGGGATTTAACACAGAGACACACTTGGGATTTAACTCTAGTCCATTTTTAAAATTTTGAGGCAGGGTCTTGCTAAATTGCTGAGAGTCTTGCTAGGTTGCTGAGGTTGGTCTCCAATTTGTGATTCTCCTGCCTCAGCTTCCTGAGTTGCTGAGACTACACCACTGTGACTGGCAATTATTTGTTTATGATTCTTTCATGTTGGACACTTTTCTCAGACATCTGATAATCCTTATTTTCTGCTCATATGTTTTTTGGTAGGGGGATTGAAAAGGTGATTAGAAAATTAGTGGGGCTGAATGATCTGGTTAGGCAACTTAATTAGGGAACTTCAGTGTTACTAATTTCAGGGTTTGTTTTTGTTTTGTTTCCTGGCTGGTAATATTCTACAAAGAAGGATTCTGGAAATTCTTACCCAATATGTTTATTTAATTTATCCATTTTCAATAAGGTCCCCTGCCTGCCCTCTACCATTACTGGTATATCCCCCAGTCTAGAAAAACTTATCTCCAGAGAGTAAACCTTCTTCTTCTTTTATTTATTTTTTAAAATATTTCCCTCTCCCTCTCCCACCTTCAGTCCGAGAATAGCAGGCACCTGGCTTCATTAGTTGGGGGGAAAAAAAAATCTGATGATGTGAAGCTTCTGAAACAATTTCAACCAATCCTCATTTTATTTAACTCTTTCACCTGCACAGGTGAAATGTTTTAGAGATCATGTGATATAAATTTTATTTATTCTTAGTTTTACACAAATGAGTGATAATTCAGTTAATTCAGTTTTCTTCAATTTGTCCAGTTGCTTTCCAAGGAAATGATCTTGCTCTTGTCTCCCTTCATTTTTTTTTTTTGTTTGTTTGTTTGCTTTTGGTTTGCTTTTAAAAGTCTTTCTTTGTGGCTTATACCTTAAAATAAATACAAAATGTTAATATTTTATATAGCAACAACAACAACAACAATAAAACTTTATACTTTTGTTTCAGTGGACTTTCAGGAAGAAAAATGTAGATATGTGTTAAACTCATATTTATTCAATAGTTTTGCAAGACTTCTTTAGAGATTTCTTGAAAAATGCAGAAGCTTGCACTAGCTTAATCCTTAAAAAATATTTCTTATCCCTGGACTGAGACATGGGAATTAGGACAGATAATTACATTAGTTTTATTTTCTCTGACTGCTATACCCTAAAGAAATACTCTCTTCGTTTACCCCCCTCCCTTCCGCCCCCCAAAAAGTCTGTAGCTGGCTCTTGAAGGAAATTATCTCAAACTGTTGTGATCATTCAGATCTAGTGTTGCTCATAAGTCATCAGATTCTACCATCTGGATTTGATTTAGATTTTCTTTCTACATGGACTTATATGTTTACCCCCTTTTTGGATTTTTCCCTTAATTCTTTATCCCTAATGTCTTCCTACCCCCAGAAAGTCTTTCTTGATTTGATCCCTTTCCTCATTATTAACTCCTTCAAGTTTGGATAAAATACCCTTCTATGTTTCCACCAAGTATTTATTATATTACTGTAATTGTGTTTCTGAGTGTCACAGCCACTCAGCCTAGGATTAAACTTTATTTATTTTTGAATACATAGCATCTGCCTCACTATTTGGATCATGAGCTTTTATTTTCATATTTAAAACTTGCAAGAAAATAAAAAATAGTTTTAAAAATTCTCTGTAACCCTCTATAACACGGAGTTAATACTGAAGTCCATTAAAACATCATCAATAAAATGAACAAATGAAAAAAGGCCAATTCAGTTATTTATGGAAAAAAATGAATTTACTATAGTTTGAAAGACAGGGACATGTTGTAATAGGCTTGGATACTTTTATCAATAGCTATAAAAACAAATTGATGCCCAGTATGGTGGCTCCTGCTTATAATCCCAGTGTTTTGGGAGATTGAGGCAGGAGGATGGCAAGTTTGAGGCCAGCCTGAGCAATTTAGCAAGACTCTGTATCAAAATAAAATGGGATGTAGCTCTGTGGGAGAGCACCCCTGGGTTTAATCCCTAAGTAAGGAAGAAAGGAAATTGGGGGAAAAGTGGAAGGAAGGAAAGAATAGAAGAGAGTTTATTGCTGCCTGTTTATTAGAATTGCTTGGAAAATAAATGTCATTTGAGTTCAAGGAGAACATGATAAGTTTGGTAAAGTCTGATGTACTTACTTAGAGAAATATCTGTGAAAGAAATTCATTTAGACTTTTAAATAGGCACATTAACTATAATTAGTGTAATTTCATTTTCAGAAACAAAAGGCACAGTTCCAAAGCCTTTTGCAAAAATTTTATTTTATTCCTGCCCCCTCCCCTCTTTTTTGGTACTGGAGGTTGAACTCAGGGGCTCTTGGGGCCCTTGATCACTGAGCCACATCCCCAGCTCTATGTTGTATTTTATTTAGAGATAGGGTCTCACTGAGTTGCTTAGCGCATGCATCACCGTTGCTGAGGTTGGCTTTGAACTCAAAATCCTCCTGCCTTAGCCTCCTGAGCTGCTGGGATTACAGTGGCCCCTCCTGTGCCACTGTGCCTGGCTTATTTTTTCCTCTTTTGTCGTGCTGGGAATTAAATCCAAGGTCTTGGGTATGCTAGGCAAGTGCTCCACCACTGAGCCCCAAATATTTTCAAGAGCCCCCAAATAAAAGTCCAAGAACTTTTAAATAAAAGAAAATTTGACTTTGTGAACAATTTGTATACTGAAGAAAATAATTTTTATATGGATAGGCAGACTATCCTATAACCAAAAAACAGGGCTCTTTGGAGGTGATAAGACAGCAACTGTATGAGGCTTACCCAAAAGTAAACTCCATTCTTTGTTCTCTTTCTGGAGAAGTGTTAACCTAATTCATGGCAAGGCTTTAGGAATCCCAAAATAGTAGGTAGGGAAAAATGTGTAGGAGGATATATATTTTGTCAGGAAAGGGTTCATAGCTTTTATCAGATTTCCTATAGCGTCTTGACCTAACAGGGTTTAGAAACCATTGATTTAGATACTTACTGTGTTTGCTTTGTAGTAAAGGCATAAAGTGGAAGGGATGGGAGAGTAAGAATTAGTTGTAACTGTAAGATTTTTGGATACAGTTTACAGTGAAATGTCAATTACATCATGACCTAAGTATAGGTCATGTGTAACTGAAACAAAAATTTGCAGAACTATAGATACCTTCATAAAATATGATTCACTTTTAACATTTTCTCTTTTATTTCATTTAGAAAAATATTGATTGAAAATCATCAGGTTGATTTATTAATACTCTGCTGGGTGATGACCCAATCTTTGAAAAACACTGGCCTACTATATTACAGTTTACAGAACACTTTCACATACTCTGTCTACATAGCAGTCCCATGAAGTAAATATGATCTTTTAATTTTTATACATAAAGTAGCTCTGCAATGTTAAGTGACTTGCTCATTTCCATTGTCAGTACTTTACAGAGTCAGAGTTTCAACCTGGGTCCTTTTTATTTTTTGTTTTGTTCTGGTACTGAGCACTGAACCCAGGGTACCCTAAACTGAGCTTCATCCCCAGTCCCTTTTTATTTTTTATTTTGAGAGAAGTCTTGCTAAGTTGCCCAGTCTGGCCTGGAACTTGCAATCCTCTTGCTTTGTTCTTCCAAATTGCTGGGATTACAGGCTTGGACAGGTTATAGGTTTTGACTCCAGCTCCAATGAATCTTTGGTTACCTTATTCAAAATACTTCTTTTTGCCTTCTTATTTCTTTCCCTGACACAGTTGTAGGGATAATAATAGTTTAGACTACGTAATTAGATAAATCATAATTCCCCAATTAATGTACCCACACTACTCCAAATCTTGTCCTTTGTCATTTGGGGATCCTCTCTTAGAAGTTCTRGATTTTCCTATCAAAGTAATGGGATCTTCCCATTTGTTTCATTCTCTGCCGTAGACCAGTTTTCTTAAGTCTGGCTTTACATCAGTGCAACCAGATGTGGAACTTAAAATTCAGGTTCCTGTGCCCCCTTCTAGTTGCAGTTTTGATTCAGTAGGTTTGGGGGAAAATGTAGATATGGGTAGTTTTTAAAAGCTCCCAGGTAATTCTCATATATAAATCCAGAATTTCTATCCTAGATACATTTAAATTGTTGTCTTAGAAGGAAACCTAGGATGTGGAGAGTAGAGACTTTTTGGTAGTCCTTTTGACCTTAGAAACTTAGTAAAATAGAGCATTGCCTTCTCCCTGGCTCCTGGCCTGCATGAGTAAGTATAGCCACTAGGGAATATAATCAGAGCCTAACTGCCTCATTTTTAATGAAATGATAAGGATTGGAATGCATACATTGAGTATACAACTTTTCTGGAAAAGTCACTTTATGAAATGGTAAGTTTTGACTCTTATTTATTACTGCCATAAATAATCAAGTCTGTGTTTGTAATGTGTATGACTTATGGAATTGAACAAATAATAAACTACTGAACTTTGTGATTCAAGTTAAGTAATAGATTAGACCATAAAAAAAGTGATACTTTGAATAATATTAATTTTGTATTATGCTGAACAAAATAGGAATTGACAAAAATTTGGGGTTCTTTAAAAAAATCTTCAAATTTCTCTTTCTTTCTTTCTTTAGTTCTTTTTGGAAGCGGATAACTGCTCAGACAGTAAGAATTATAAGAGGTCAGTTACAAATAATGCTCTTTGATATTTATAATGTAATAAAGATTTTTTTCATGTGCTTAAATAAATTTATTTGAGTTTTTGTTGTTGTCGTTAAAAGTTGTCTTCTACAAAAAAATGTAGGCAAACCTAGGGTAGATAGCCTGAAGTGAACAAGGAGTCACACGATGATAGTGTTGTACCTTCTAATTCAGGACTAGAAGCAGTGGAAATGGGACACGTGGTRAGGTAGCTTCTACAGTGTCTGGATAGCTGCTCAGTGATTTTCCATACATGACCTCTCTTTTCTGGTAGTTTGCATGCTTGTGCCTGGGAATACTTTTTCTGTACAAGTGTTGGTGGCTGGACCGGCCCTTTAGCTGTTAACCCTGAGCTGCTTCCAGTTTGTGCAACCCTTTAGAGAAGGCTGCCTTCACGATCTTGGAAAGGAAAACTAGGCCTTTCATTTATTAGCCCAGGGACCATATTTTGCTAACTTTTACTTCTCTCATAGAATAAAAAAGAAATCAGTTCTTTCTCATGGTTTTGATTTTTGTGTGTGTGGTCATCAAACTTCAATCAGACTGTATGAATCTGCACCTGAGTGCCTTATTTTAAAGAATCTAATAATTCATAATAAGGGGGGCAAGAATAGAGGTACTTTGCTTTAGACAGAAGGGAGTGAAGGGAGGGGAGGGAGAATGGGGAAGGAATGGTAGTAGAATGAATTGGACATTATTACCCTATGAGCATATATGATTACACAACCTGTATAACTCTATATCATGTACAACCAGAAGAATGAGAAGTTATACTACATTTATGTATGATGTGTCAAAATGCATTAAACTATCATGTATAACTAATTAGAACAACAACAACAAAAAAGAATCTAATATTRTAGCTGAGAGATCTATAGTAAATTTAAAACATCACACTTTTTGATGATGAACATTGAACCCAGGGCTATCCCCAGACCAATATTTGACTTGAGTTTTAAAAATAGAAGTTAACTTAAGTAATCTCTAACATTTAGGAAATGTTTATAGTTTTTTTCATTCCTGGCAATTTGTTATTGTTTTATTTTTGTTTGTTTTTGTTTTAATTAAAAAAAAATACCCACTTGGGATTTTCTTTAAAAGTATGCACTTATATAAGATTTTCACAACCTCTCAGATGATCATTTTATAATTTACTCTTTTTTTTTAATACACCACAATAGTGGAATGCATTACACTCATTACCCATATACAGCACAATTTTTTCATAACTCTGTATATAAAGTATGTTCACGCCAAATTATGCCATTATACATGTACTCTTTTTTTTTTTGCATAACAATTCTTATAATTTACTCTTAACAGCAAGATTCAAACAACCACCAATTTTCCCTAACCCTTACCATTCATTACCACTAATACTAACAATGAAGTTGCAGCCCCACAACAGTTAGTATTCATATTCTACCAAGGTTTTCTTATTGATCATAATTATCTCTCAGATCTATTTAATTGATAAAGAGATTATGGATGGCCTATGGCTTTTTGAGAAAGATTTTGTAGGGAAAAGGGAATTGATTTTAATTTATAGGCATAGTTACCATGATCTCACTTTTCCTGCTTTGTAGGAGTCAAAGGCTCTCTGAAATAGAGTAGCCAGGAAAACTAAGTATCTAACTCTTGTCTTGCTCCCAAGAGCCAGCTGTGGTTCATTAGGTATACTCTATGAGTGTTGTCAGAGTGTTATCCATAACTTGCTTTTCTCACTTATTTTCTCCATAGCTCTGAGAGCTTATTTTGAAAGAATAATGGATGAACCATCTCCCTTGGCCAAACCTCTGGAGCTGAACCAGCATTCTCGATTCATAATTGGTTCTGTGTCTGAAGATAACTCAGAAGATGAAATCAGCAACCTGGTGAAGCTGGACCTCCTGGAAGAGAAGGAGGGCTCTTTGTCACCAGCTTCTGTCAGCTCAGATACACTTTCTGATTTGGGGATCTCTAGCTTACAGGATGGCTTGGCCTTACACATAAGGTAAGAGAGAGAGGTTTAATGGTTATCTTATTTAACCTAATTAGTTTTGTTGATTATGCTTTGAAAGCTAAGATTGCTGTACTTCTTCCCATGTCACTGGACTCATGGTTTTGATGAGTTAAGTGGGAGATGTTATTTTTATTTTATTTTATTTTATTTAGTTGTTGATGGATCTTTATTTTATTCATTTATTTATATGTGGTGCTGAGGATTGAACCCAGTGCCTAACACATGCTAGGCAAGCGTTCTACCACAGAGCCAGAATCTCAGCCCTGAAATGTTGTATCTTAGAATTGTCTTTTCCTATCTGGGCATGGTGGCACACGCTTGTAATTCTAGCTGCTTGGTTGCTGATGCAGGAGGATCGTGAGTTCAGAGCCAGCCTTAGCAAGTTAGCGAGGCCCTAAACAACTCAGTGAGATCCTGTCTTTAAATAAAATACAAAATAAAGGGCTGGGGATGTGGCTTAGTGGTAAAGTGCACCTGGGTTTCCTCCCCAGTACCAAAAAAGAAAAAAAAAAAAAAGAAAGAATTGTCTTTTTCTAAATGTTCCCCTCAACTTTTTCCTATCCTTCATACATACTAGATCTTTTAGGTGAGACCTAGCAAGTGAGAGTTGGTTTGAGGAATTTCAGCCTTTGTACTGCTTTATTAACATAGTTTTAACTCTCTTGATGCTTGATAGGAATTCTGCAGGGATAGGCAAATTTGTAGTAATCCTTCTTTAAACTTCTTACTCATGTCATGAAATTATATTGTTTCTAGCACAGTTAATCCTCAATAAATCATTGTGATATAAACAAGGGATTCCCACAGAGCCCTCTTTTTTCTTTACAAACACAATCTGTAATTGAGAATGTTAATAGTACCACTGGAATATTCTTTTTTTTTTTTAAGTATTTTTGAATTGTTGATGGACCTTTTTTTTTTTTTAATTCATTTATTTATATGTGGTGCTGAGGATTGAATCCAGTGCCTCATGCATGCTAAGCAATCGCTCTACCACTGAACCACAACTCTTTCCCTTGGAATATTCTTGTTTATTGATGTTTGATTATATAATCAGTGTGTGAGCCTATACCTTTGGTCATTTGCTTGGCAATTTTCGGATGAAAGGGTCTGTATCATTAGTTAATTCTCACTGCTCATCAGTATCTCTTGGGTAGGTGAGGGTTAAAGAGTTAAAGAAAATGTCCTCTTCCTAGAGATTCTGGTATCATTTGGTATTGGCTTAGCTTGGGGCATTAAAAAAAAAAAAAAGCTATCCAGGTGATTCTACTGCACAAGCAGCATTAAGGTTATAGGCCTAATCTAGATAAACATAAGTTAGAGTGGCTCTTGCTGCTGCTATTACCTTGGTACTTCTTTTATTAATGGATTATAAAGCAATTCAGCTCCTTTCTATACATCAAGATACTACTCTATCAAAAAATACTATACTGGATCTAGCTGAATATGATGGTTCTGTCTTATTGTCATCCCATAGGCTTGTGATCCTGGCTTCTATGAGATGAGGTGGTACATGTTAGCAGTCACCCCCATATAGCTATAGGGAGGTCAGAAAAAAAGAATAAAGCAAGTTATTTATGGTTTACTTTGTAGATTCCTAGAACTTAAGTGAACCAGAGAGATAATTTAACATAATTTTTTTTGTTTTAATAGATGAGGAAATCAAGGTGTATTGAGAGGAAATAACTTGAGTAAGGTTGAATAGCCAGAAAACTGAATTTCAAACTGGATGTCTTGATTCCATTTCAGTACCTTTTCTGCTCTATTTCCCAGAGCATACAAGTATCTTAATTATATAATAAATTCAGACAAAGTTGGTCTTATGGAGTGAATGAACAATGTATTAAATCTAATCGCTGGGTAAAAAATGAGGAATTAGTGGCAGGGTTAGGTTTTTATCTTTATGTAAAATGTTTTATTACTTTATAGTTCACTTAAGGTTAACCTTAARGTTAATACTGGTGGTGATATCTTCTTTCTTGAGTTCACTTGGAAGTGTATGGAGTTGTGACAGGTGGGACTACTTACATTTAAAGGACACTGAAAGGATTTATTTAAAGGATACTAAACCTTCTGCAATGTAGTAGCCAGGAATTGTCCTTCTCAAAATGTTATAGTGACATCCCCCCCCCCCCATGAGAAAGACTGGATTAACTGACTCCTTGAAGTCTCACAGCTCCATGAGAACTTAAAACTATGTGAAACATAATGTCCATTTGCTGAGGAAACTGAGTTTGGCAATGGTGAGATAATTACCATTATAGGAAACTCAACTAATGATATTACAAGGCAGTTTGTAGTTGCAAAGTCATTCCAAGTTCATGGCTATTACGTAGACTGTGTGCTTAGTTCTTTGCATGCCTTACTGTTGGCAAAACTCATGCTGGTAGCTCGTGGAGGAGTCATGGACAGAAGTGTGATCAGCAGCCTGGAAAGGGGACAGGTGCCAGTGGAGGAGTCCTGGACAGAAGTGTGATCAGCAGTCTGGGAAGGGGACAGTTTCCAGTTTCCACTGGCTTCTCACCTAACTAATGTTCCAAAATAGGACGAAGTTTCTCCTTTGATCCATCTTTTAATTAAGTCACCTGTGGATAGGTGTCATTGAGGGTAATTCTGAGATCTGCAACTTAGTAGTCTTTGGCTGAGGGCAGTAGTATCTTCTCTTCATCTTCCACCTTCCTTTCTTGTCATTCAGAAAATAGGAGCTATTTGTATGTATGTTTTTGTCCCAGGAGTTTATTCTATAAACTTGATTAATTATGAATGCTGTAAGTAGGGCTCAGGACAACCATTTAATAATGTTTCTTGCTTCTGTTACTTCTACTGTAATGCATACATTTACCGTTCCCACYCCCTCTTTCTTCTTCTTCTTTTTTTGGTTTGGGGTGCTTAACCACTGAGCCACATCCCCAGCCCATTTATTTATTTATTAGGTGTTGATGGACCTTTATTTTATTCATTTATTTATATGTGGTGCTGAGAACAAACCCAGTGCTTTACACATGCAAGGCAAGTGCTCTACCACTGAGCCACAACCCCAGCACCCCAGCCCTTTTATTTTTTATATTGAGACAGGGTCTCACCAAGTTGCTGAGGCTGACCTTGAATTTGGAATCTTCCTGCCTTAGCTTCCCAAGTCCTTAGGATTACAGGCATGTGCCACTGTGCCTAGCACAACTGCTTTATATTTTTAAGTTATTAGAAGTAATATGTGTTTACAGTAGAAAAGTTAGAAATCTAGAAAGTATAATAAAGGACATGAAAATAATCATTCTTTCAGTGATTTTTATCCCTTAATAAATTTAATTTAAAAAATTATATTATAATGAAGCCAGACATGGGTAGCATAAGTCTGTTATTCAGTGACTTGGGAAGCTGAGGCAGGAGAATTGCAAATTGGAAGCCAGCCTGGACAATTTAACAAGACCTTGTCTCAAAATAAAAAAATCAAAAGGGCTGGGGGTGTAGCT